AAAATCTTCAAAAGCCCTCCTCTAAAGGCTTCCTTCTACATATGTACACCATGTCCCATAATTAGACGCCTAATCGCTTCGGGTTAAAATAGGGTCAAACAGGTTACCAGATACAGGTACAAGCATGAACAAGTGGGTTACGGGTTTATAGTTCAGCTGTTCTGTGCCCCAAAGGCAGCACTCCAGTAGCGTCACTGTTAGCCACACACCAATTTTCACAAAGTCTGACCACCCAGCATCACAGGTAAAACCAGAATTTCATCGGCAAAGCAGCTTAGTCACAGCAACAAGCGAAACCATGCGGCCGGCTAATGCCCTTGTATGCGCATCTCTCGCACCACCAGCAGGGGCCGCGACCCCCGTAATCTCAATCACGCAGATCGGCTCTGCAGATATCAGCTCTATCAGCCACTACAAATGCCACCATATTTGCATGAATGACAGCACACGGCAAAAGGCTAGTAGTGAATGTGGGCTGACTAAATGACACTGGGCGAACAAAAATGAGAGAATGGTCGGCGTGTTTTCTTATAAAGGATAACACATTCCCCCGGCTACCATAGGCCAGCGGCTCCCAAATCCAGTCCAGGAGGGCCAGTTTGAGACAGTTTGCAGATTTCAGTGCTGAAACAAACCTGCTAAACCTGGCAATTTGCTGGTGAGCCGAATAACGTGTCTGAGTAGGGAACTCTGCAAACCGTGTTGCAACCTGGCCCTGCAGGACTGGGTCTGCGGAGCCCTACCATAAAGCTAGGAGCTTTTGATGAGCTTAACAGAGAATTCAGGCTAATCAAACCACTCCCCCCCCCCCCGATAGAAATGTTGAGTCCTTTGTTATTTATACACGTCCTCCTACCAGGTACCTCGACAGGAAAAAGAATTTCTGTGAATTTGACCTTTTTTCTCCGAAGAGTTAATCTTCCTTAATCCTTCCTTAGGTGTCTATATTAAGGGTTTCACTAAACAGTCACTAGCTTTCGAATTTCGTGAAAAATTTCAATTTAAGACCTTGGAGAAGATGCAAAAAAGAAAAAAGTGCCAAAAACGTGAATGGAGGGAAAAACCGGAACAAAGACAACAGACGTATCGTATACCGAGTACAATAGTATGATGTGTTCTGCCTTTCATATTTTTATACTAAGCAGTTTCATCTTTATTCAACATGAAAAAGCAAATTAAAGAAATACATTTTAATAACCAAAAACAATTTCAGCAGTATTTTGGAGATTGCCTGGGTGTGGATGGTTTTCCAGAGCCGTCTAACTGGCCCAAAAGCACGGGTCGTCACCAGACGGAATCAGCCAATCACAGTGTTCCACCACCCCTCCCAACCCCAAGTCCTTTTGTGTACATTTGTACCTCCTGCAAAGGCAGCACAACTGCCCACCCCTTCAGAGCACAACAGTCAACAGCAGCAGAGAGGTAAGGATATTAATGACTTCATAACAATGGCCCAGTTTTGTGACAATGTCCCAGTGACCAGGGAAGTGGCAAACACAACCGCAGGAAGAGGCATTTCCTTATCTTGCAAACCTCAAAACATAAAAAAAAAAAAACCAAAACATGCTGGCCAAGAGTACGTGCAGGTCTGCCGGCACTCACAAACCGCTGCTCAGTGCAGTGCAGTTTCCCGTCATATTCTCATCCATTCGCCGGCTCACCTAATGTGCAGTGACTTTTTCACTTTTAAATGAAAGTAGCACGCATTACACAGGGCTATTTATCTCCCGTGAAACTGCAGCACTGGGCCACAAAACCATGGCTGTAATCGCTACGGCGTTCTGCACCACGGAACATATGAGAGTCTCAGGGCAGACAGGCTCTCCTGCAGCCGTCAAGGCTCCCAGACAAATGGCTTTTAAAAGTTATCTTTCACGAGAATCTACCATTCTCTTCAAAGTAGCCTCAACTGTATTAGGCAAGGGCATTACTGACAAGGCATTACACACTGCAGGAAAAAACACAGCACAAAAAAGCTTATCAATGCAGATTAAATTAATTCATCACCCACAGTAAATGTCTGAAGCATGGTGCTTACAAAAGGTTTGTTTGCTTGAGTGATTTCTCTTTTGTTCAGTGCATTACGAGCAATCGTACATAAACATGTTTGCAAACATCTGACAGCCAGACAGACGGGAGAAACGGCGTAACCTACGCACGACCACACCGTTATATTACGGGGCAGGACAGCCAAACACCAAAACCCACGTGTTTCGACATACAGCCTTTAATACCCAAGTTGGCCTGTGCACAACTAGGACAGATCACAATGGGACCCTGGTGGACATACAGGGTTGGAAGCAGGGAAATCCAGTCCGCAGGCAAAATCTTAAATATGCTAGTGGAATTTACTACATACAAAGTAACAGGAAGTGCTTTTTGCCCTGGAGGGGGCGGGGGGAGTAGAATTCCAGTCCTTCCTCTGGTTCTGCTTGTCGTGCAGATGATGCAAAGTCCCTCTAGAAGCAGTCACCCTTTAAAGTCACGGCTCAGAAGCATTTCTGGCAAGGGCCTGAATGCACAAGTGGCATATCTGCTACTATCCTCGTTTCAAAACAGCAGAATTTTCGCCGGGGAATGATTGGAAACTGAGGTGTAAATTCCTCTGATTTACAAAACAACTCTTATGGTATCACTGCATTTCCATGATAGTAAAATCCCAAAATATCCCAAAAGTGTAGCAATGCGATGATGGAAGTGCTTTAGGCAAACTGAGACGGGATAGAAACCTCAGACAAACGCACAGAACTAACAGCAGCAGCTATGAAACAGCTAATAACATTGTCACATTGTTTGGGAGCTACAATAAACTACCGTACAATTACTGTAGGAACTTAAACACTGAGTGTAATATCCCCTCAGTCTGGTTCCCAAATTAAATTAACAAGATCACTCTCAACTTCAAAAACACACCAACTTTATACTGACAACTGAAAATCCACAACACAAGAAAGACTTTCTAAATCGAGGGAACAACTGGGACAGATGAAGAAATATTCTCAACTACCACAACTAAGACAAAGCTAAGGATCTTAGCAAATTATATATATTTTTGCCTGTAGTCTGTCAGTTTGTGAGGAACTATTATCCCCCTTTTGAAGAAGCGAGAACAAAATATTTGAGAGGGGAAATAAAAATTGTTTGAGGAACAATGTATTGTCACAGTTTTCTAATGTCCAACGACCTTTTTTCTGTGCAAAATATCCTACAATGCAGTTAAATTTCAACCAGGAGGCAAAAATCATCCATTACTAACAAGGAGAAAACCCATCTGAAAAGCCCGGGAAACACTTCCTGGGGAGAATAATGTTCTCCTTTTAGCATTAGAGAAAACACTGGCTCCTCAGCCACGGCTGCAAATGAGGCTCGAGCGTCTCCGCAGGACACCTCGAACAAACGCTTAGACACGAGGGGACGTCTCCAACACGTAGCTGCTGACAGCTGGAACCACGGGTGGCTTCCAGGCCAATGAGGGCAGACGCACAGGATGAATTAAGTGTAGCCAGAGGTGCAAAGTACTGTAAAAAGTCTATGGCAGGAGCCTGACATATCTCACACGCAGCGGCTTCGGCTCAGCTTCACCTCAACGTGACTTCAAAGGCCACTGATGCGTACAGGATGACCACAGAGGCCTTATTTTTAAAATGAGTCGGCGTTCAGCCCTGTCGTCAGGCGCCCGTCACGTTACCGCACCCCATCCTGCCTGCAAAGTCAGAGTGCCTCCCATCTTCATAGCAAAATATGTGCAGGTATCTTAGCAGACTGAGCTGTCTGTGGGAATATAGCGTCTGTGACATTCTCCCCCAACCGGCTGCCAAGGCTGGGACAGGGGACAGGGGAGGAAGTGCAAATAATTTGTGGTAAAGCAGCACAACACCACCACCCATCGATGCACAACATGAGCAACAGCACCACCTGGGCTAGTTAAACCAGGGGTCTCCGGCAACAGTCCTGGAGAACCACAGCCCCGCACAGCTTAGTTTTCTCCCTGTTCCACCACACCTGATTCACAAGAACTGTGTGCTGATTAGCAGAGAACCTGAAAATGAGATGAAACCCAAACATGAGAAGTGCTGGGGCTCATCCAGGAATGGAGCTGGAGACCCCTGGGTTAAAGAATGGTGTCCAGCCCACTGGCACCCCCAGGACTGCTTTAAGCTTGGTTTCATTCTGCCGGCGCTGTCTGGGCTAGTTACGCATGCTGTCCAGTCCACCAACACCACCTGCATGACTTGAAGCACAGCGTACAGTCCATTTGCACAGTATGGACTAGTTAGTAAGTCTGACAAAAATGTTTGAACTAAATTTCGGCACACTGGTTAGTTTAAAGCTCCGTTTGCAGCCCGGGCGGGCGGCTGCGAGAATGCGGCCCCGGCTCGCTCTCCAAGCGTCGCTGGGACTTTCCTGGAGCAGCGCTGAGTTAGTGCGTCCAACTGATCGATAATACGCGCCAGGATCAGGCTGATTCCCGTCAGCAGGATTTACACTCAGATAAAAGCGCAAAAAAACAAACAAACCGTTTTCTTAGTTTTTTGCAGAATAAAACAAAATAAATAACACGTAATAGACCAAAAAAAATCAGAGTGCCGCACTTATTCATAAGCCCCTACACCGGGGGCATCCGTTCGGTTAATAAGGCGAACGGACCGTCTTGCCCGTCCGCTTCAGTCCTGCCATCTAATTGTGCTCGGGGAGCTGCGCGTTCCGGGCGGCCCGGCCGCGGGCCCGGTGACTGTGGATACGGGGTAGCGGCCAGGCGCGCCCCCACCGGCGTCCCGGACCCCCGCCGTCCCGCTACAAAGCGCCGGGCTTCGCCGCACCCCATTCTGCAGCCGTCGCTTGGTGCTGCCCGTGCGAAGGGAGAAAATGCCGAACTGCTAAGAAAGTGAGGATAAAACGCAGCGGAAGCTGTCCGCCGACTGCTTGCGAAGTTTGGGAGAAGAGCGTCGCAAAGCGGAGCTCCGCCGCGGCCGGAGCGCTGGGACGCCCAAGTTACTCACCGACGCCGTACTTTTCCTTCTTAGTGGGGACCCACCGGGACATCCTCGCAAACTACCAAAGAAAACTTCTCTCTCTTATACGCTGAGTCCGCTGGACAAAGCCGCCGCGTTTTCCCCCGTTCTTTTACTTGTTTCCCTTTATTTTCCCACTTTTTTCCTGCCTGGCCGGAGCTCACCGCGCCGCCATTTTCCGCGAGTAGCAGCAAAGCCCCGAATGAGCGCAAAAGAAAAGTTTGTGTCATGTGGCCTCGGGGCGTCACGCGGCGGCCGCGAGCCTCGCAGCCGGCGGCTCGCGCTCCCGGCCCCGGTCCCGGCCGCTGCTTCACGTGCATGCATTACCTAAGCACACACCTGTACTTACATCCATAACTTCTGAGTACTATTTTACTCCTAAAAACACCAAAACCCTTTCTACAATAACCCGATCAGCTCAAAAGTTAGTGTAATCATTCAAATGCAAGTAAAATAAAATAAAATATCATAGATGTAGTCACAGTACAGATATTCCGCTTCATACTATTTTATTTCATTTTATTTTAATTTGTGTAAATGTTAATAGAAAATGTGTAATGCGATTCAGGTTCTTCTATTCTGTCCGAAGACCATGAGTTCGCTCTGGAAACAATATCATTAAGTAGTTAGGGCCTGGTATGTCTATCCATGGCTGGATGCATGATGGACTCATAGTGGGTTAAATGGAAGACTGTGGGATGCTGGACTCCACCCCCAGACAATTATTATCCGTGGCTCGAATATACTCATATCAAATAGCACGGAACGGAGTTTCAGGGTAGGCAGAGGGCGCCTCTTTCACGTCGTCTGACTGCTTCCCACGGTGAAGGACGTTCACCGATATCAGAAGCGGCATCAGGCTGACGTCGCCTTCACAGGGTTGAGCGGAAATGTGGCTCGCGGGGCTGCTTATTTACAGAAGTTCTCCATTCCCTAAAGTCTCCGCGTTGTTGTGCTGGAATGCACCAAAACAATGTCTACTGAGTCATAATTTCATGTATCACATGAAGCCAAACCATTTTCCCCCGAAAGAAAACCCAAAAAAAAGATCGAGACAGCTATCTTGTACAACTGAATGTGACTGAACTTAATACATCGTTTACATGTAGCATATCGAAGTACTTCCTTCAGAATACACTCTTTAATAATAAAAAGGGTAATGATTTCTTCCATTTCATTCGCCACCATCTGCTGCATGTTTTGACACTATTCTCACTATGATCTTTCTAACTAATGGTGTTCTGCTGTTTTCATCAAGCCGGCTTTGAAGCAGCATTGAGGTTTGTAATGTATATTTTTAAACCTCTCCATCAAGTCAATGTCCTTTCTATCAAGAAATTGTTATAAATCATAAATATTCTTTTTGAGCGCAAACCATGAGGACTGTTGGCCTTGACTGTTTTTCAAACCGTGGAGAATAACATGCATTATTGCCTATTTTCTCATACCAGATTATTTTTACATCAGTATATAAAAAAAGATATATACAATGAAAAAACCAAGAAAGGCTCCAGATGCACAAACCACAAACCAAGGAAATACATACACAGGAGCAGCACTAGGGATTTGGGCCCCATGAAAGAATATTGCTGTGCCCCCCCCCCCCCCCCCAGCCGCCACACACACATACACACACACACACACTTTTTGGTGCCCTTGTGTATCCGTATCTGTGTGTGTGTATATGTGGGTGTCTGTGTATGTGTGTATTTTTAGAGTATCTGCACTCTTAATAGGATTTTCCAAGCAAAATAGATATGTATTAAATAAATACATTTCTGTTTCAACACCTGTATAGTATATATGGCATTATCCCCCCCCCACCTCCACGACCAGAATAAGCAGTGAAAGGTGGATGGATGGATGGATGGATTGATGGACGCATGCATGCATGTATTACTACCACAATTGTTTCTGTCTCTGAACCATGAGATCTGCTGATTTTAGTAGTAATATAAAAAAGCTGTAATGAACCTTCAGTGAAATGACAGTCTTTTCAGATTAAGGCTGCCTTTTGCTGCGTATTTTTCTTTTGTAAAAACAGTAGGGTTTTCATCAAGGTTGCAGTGTAGTAAAATGAAACATTTGCTGTAGAATGACTGAGGGCAGCGCCAGGGTTACATGGTTCAGTACTACGGCCACCAGAGGGCGTTGCTAAACTTGACTTTTATTAATATTTCCAGTACCGTGAACAGTTCGACCCAACTGAAGCTGCTTACATTTCTCATGATTAAACCATTTCTCTCACCCCCTAAAGACTGTAAGAAAAGTCTTTCGTCTGATACATCCGATTTTTCTTATTTATGGGAAAAGCCTGGAGAGACCACTGCTCACTGTGCCCCTTAAAAATGACATTATTTACGGCCATTATTTACTGAAGTATTTTATTCCCCTTTTCACAGCATTATTATTATATATTTGCCCAAAGTTATTCACAGTATTACCATTTTATACAGATATATTTATACAGTTACCTTCAATGAAGAAATTTCTTTTTCAATACATTATTTTGCTCCAGCCCACTACCTGCACCTGAAGCAGGTAATTAAGGACTTGATAATTATTTGCTTCATAAAATCTGGTGTGTAGGTGGTGGAACTGAACAAAAAACGTGAACTGGCTGAGGTCTGAATATTGGGTTGAGACCCAGTATTCTCAAAGGTAACAATGTCTTTTCACAATATTGCACTTCATACATTTCTGTAAATGATATTCACCTGGCCTACACATACAGAGTGTCCTTACAGTGAAGCCATACATTTATGTAGGTCACAGACTTTCAGGTATCACAGTGAGAAATGTCTAAAATCATTTGTTTTTCTCTGATAGTAAATACAGTGCACTGATGCAATTCCTATAAGACCAGACACTATTTAAATTGAGCTATTATGCATGTGATGGTATTGCACAATATTAATTCTTTGACCATCAATGGCCCGCAGACCAAGGAACAGTATAAGGTGAATCTGTGGCCGTTAATTATGTCGCTTTCCCTATATCAGTTTAATTAGAATAGAAAATCAGTTTAATTAGTACAGAAGTGCCAGAACAAACACCTTTGCTACTTCAGTGATTGCCTATAGAAATGACATTAAGTTTTTTGCGATGTGAGACAGTCACGCTGGAGGGTGCTCTCTAACTCTGAGGTCGCCGTCTGGACCGCGTGTTTGGCTCTCAGCGCCGCCTGACCCGTGATCCAGTCGACACAAGGAGTGTCTGAAGATATATTCATTTGGAAAACATCTTCTTAGAACAACAAAACAAAAAAAAAAAGGGAAAAGTTATTTTATTTTAAACAGAGATAGCTGATAATTATCCAGCCTTTGCAGGATTATTAATGCATGAGTGCATTCTGTTTATGCCAGTGAATGAATGTTGACATTTTGATTTGGGAAAGAGGGCTTTTCAAAGTTGATCCAGCTTTAAGTATAAGCCAGTACATTAGCCTGTTTAAACACAAGGGGTGGTTTTTGTTCTCCTTCCATGAGCAAATTAAACGGCGGATAGTGTGACAAATTGCATGACTGAGAGGATGTGTTGTGGAGCGTGTCTGAGGTGTGGGGTAGGGGGGCGGGGCCCACGGATGAGTGGCGTCTCCCCATCTGCATACCAAGCCAAGCCTCAGGACACCGTGGGGGTCGTCCCAATACCAGCAAAAACAAGGGAAGTTAATGCTGCACAGGCTCCCCAAACAAGTCACTGCCTGTATCACATGCCAGAGACTGAGGCAAGGACTGAAAATGACAGGTCTTGCACGAGTCACAAGACTTAAAGGGAAAAAAACAAGACCCAAAAAAGCAACAAGCCTTTTATACTATGTTCCACTAATTTATTTTATAAATACTGTTCCATCTATCCATTGACTGCTTATTCCAACAGGGTCATAATGATCTAAAGTCCCTTGGAGGAGAACATGAGGTGTGGTTCCCCCAGGGTAATCATGCATACACACATCTAGAGAGGGAAATCAGGGGAACCTGAAAACCACATTTGGACTGATGAAGAAACTCATGAACATGTGCATGTAAATAGTTTGAACCGGTAATCCTTTGCACAACCTATAGAGTCACCATACCAACGCTATCTTACTCTTTATGACCTTAATTCATGCAATGACGGCCTTAGCGTAGTTAAATTAAACAGTTAAACTTTCACTGTTGGTAATTTATATATCATTAATCATTCTGTTCAGAATTTATCAAACATTCCTCATAGTGCTTTTACTTTTTGCAATAGTCTTCCCTGTCTTCTGTCTTTTTGTAAAAGTCCTCTTTGTGTTGTCACTTTCTGTAACAGTCCTTTTCATGTTGTTACATTATGTTACAGTGTTACTCATGTTGCTACTTTGTGTAACAGTCTTCCTTGTGTTGTTATTTTTCTAAACGTGAATATCTCTGCTGATTTCCAGTGATGCTTTTCTGGCACCTTTATTTTAGCACCCCTAAAAGTGACATAATTATCTCTCTTTCTCTCTTTTTTTTGTTTAGATGTCTTACATCTGACTGAAGTCAGAATTGCGAGTAAGCAAGTGGAGGGCAGCCACAAGCTTTTACGGCTCAAAAGAAACAAGAGCTGACAGAAAACACGAACCATCTGCGGAAAAACGGAAAGAGAACACAAACCTATTACACAAATGCGTAATGCATCTGAAAACAAGTCACAGGTTTTGTTGCCGTGTTTAAGTGCGACCTACAGTTTAGAAGGGGGGCAGTAACTTTCAGAATGTTTTCTTTTGTTGGAGAGGAAGGGCAAGCGACCAAAGCATCTAAACGGGGCATTTAATCTAAGGAAACACCCCAAGGCCTTAAACACACGCTCCCTCTTCGCTGACTTTTTCTCCTGCCCTCTCCCCACTGTGGCTCTTTTGTTCATTCAGGGGGGGCTGCAAAGCTATTTTCTTGCTTGACTGGAGATGGAAGTACCAGGAGCGACTTCCACACAAGACTCAGTACGTGGATCGCTTTAGCATGATCTCAAAAAAAGCTTTTTACGTAATTACTTTGTTGCATCTGAAGCTAGTGGATACTCATTTGCAATTAACTGGTAAGTCAACATCGACCTGTTTCCTGGATAGCACAGAATTCAGCTAAATAGTGTTATGAATAAAGATGCCAATGTATGTGTGGAAGTCATGTATTCCTAGATGATTAGCTTATTGTTGGATGAATAATGAATATAATGTTAGTGTTTCAAATCATGTTGCTTTAGAGATCTAGGCATAAGCTTTGGTTAAAAACTAACTATGAAAAACTAACTATGAAAAATGTTAAACCTCTGAATATCTTTCAGCATTCAAATATACATCTTAATTATACAGTGTGAGTTTGCAAAAATATAAAATCTCATAAGGCCAAAAAGTGAACGATTCTGCAATTTAGCAGATGAATATACATGTCAGATTTAGACTTGGGATTACAGGGAAATGTGTTGGACTGCAACACCTTTTGCCTGTAAATGTTTTAACGTTTTAACTCTTCTTTCTGTATTTTTTTTTTTACTCTTTTGAGATATGTGGTAGGTAACTTGCAGGTTTATTAGGTTGAAAACGAGCCGTCCACCGCAGCCTGGAAGGTACCACCCTGCCAACAGGACATTTTTGACATTTCACACGGTAACCAAGGGGACACCTCCTTTAATCTCATTGGCTGGTTGCCTGAAAGCCCAGCATGGCGGCGCTGGATTGGGAGAGCTGGTGGAAGTCACCCAATCTTTGGGCCTGGGCGGGGCATCACCGTGGAGAAGCACAGGGTCGGAGAAGATCTGGGGATGAGGGGTACAGGGAGTACCTGAAGAGCCAGGTCAAGGCCCGGGTCCGGGGTTCGAGGCCACAAAGCTGCATAGAGGGGGCTGTAGGGGGGCTGGAAGGGTGGCTACAGCCCCCAGGGAGGGGGAACAGTACCTCCCTTCAAAGTGTCGGGCAGTTCCTCTCTGAAAAAACCGTGTCCATGCCAGTCCTGGATTTGGCACCCAAGTCGACAGGCGCCTGGAGAGCCACGAGCCGCCGGCCACCCAGCCCATGTGACACAGAGTTCCTATTGGCTGGGAGGCAGCGCAGGAATTTGGAGGCCTTAGGGCGCTGGGAGACCGCCCGCGTGAAGGATCTCCCCAGCAGCCAGACGGCCAGGCCCTGCTCCATGACCGCCATTAAGAGCGGCTGGCTACCCAGCCAGAAGAGGGTGGCGGTGTGCAGTGTCCCCGGCCGCCCCGCCCCCGCCGAGGAGCCGCACTGCTGGGTAAGAGTGCAGAGCCACGCCAGGCTAAAAGGCCCATCTGGCCGTGTTCCTGCCATCCGAGCTGAGCTTGCTGTGTCACTGCAGCCGTTCCCAGCCGAGTGACCCTTAGTCTTGCAAAATGTAAGCTTTTCCGCTAAATACTAATTGCTACAGTTTTCTATAATTAAGTTGCTATTATTAGCTACAAAAACTCTGCTAAAATAATAATCAGACATTTGTCCACTGTCACACCCATGATTCTGAATGAAACCAGATTTAGTTTCTTGTTCTGTTACAAGATACTAGATAAATGTGTATGTATTAGCTAACCAGTGCATTATATCAAATCAAGGGCTTGACATTTACATTGAAAACAAAGATTGGCTTTTCTAAACTGCCCTTGGAGTGTGACTGTACAGTTCGTGGCTGTGTGTGTGTGTGTGTATGTGGATTAGGTTTATATTACATTGTAGGGTCAAGATATCCCAAAAAATGTAATAAAAACCTGTTTTTTATGTCCCCGCAAAGATCTGTGAATGCAATCAAAAAAGTAACAATGCCAAAAGTCTCATACTTAGTTTGGTTACTTAAGGTTAGGGCTGGGTAGGGGTTATGGTTGTCATTGATGGGATTAGGGTTTTTCCCATAGACATGAATGGAGAGTCCCCACAAACATATAATTACAAACCCGTGTGTGTGTGTGTGTGTGTGTGTGTGTGTGTGTCTGTCATGATGGACTGATGTCCCATCCAGGGTGTTACCCTGCCTTGTGCCCTAAGCTGTCTGGGAAAGGCTCCAAAATGTCCATGCCCAGACTAGATTAGCAATTTGAAGATTTTCCATTACTGCCTCTCTAGCACAGGATCACAGCAACCAAAAAAACAAGAGATTTTTTATCCTCAGAAACCCAACTGTGGTGTTTTCCACCACTAATGTTCACAGAGAGATAGAAATGTGAAAGGGTAAAACATTTTCTGTGTTAAACGGGTCACATGACGCCGATCGTCAAACATGTGGCCTGTAGGGGGTGTGGTCTATGAGCTATAATAAAAGCAGCTTACAATACTTTATACACCCCATTGGTGTGTGAGGGCTGCATTTGTTTCAGGCCAGCCTGCTAGGCGGCTCTGACATGTATCTGTTATTTATTCTTAATATATTTAAATCCACTAAGCTCATTCTCCCATGTGGCGTTTTATAATAACGGATTTTTATCATTCATAGTGGGTCAGCAGTAGTGAAAAACCAGCAATACCCCGAGGGTTGGGTTCAATTCCCAGGCGGGCTCTGAAGGAATTCTGCAGGCAAAGACTGTAACTCCATCACGGCCAGATCATGCAAGGGTCTCCCTGCATCTCTAAAGTACTTAACCTCCATCGACCCTTCAAAGTAACAAGCCTGTATAAATGGATAAAATCTGTAAGCCATATCAAGAAATGCAGCACCTGAACAAGCATTTGTATGACATAGGTTAGCCTGGGAAGCATAGGGCACAAGATACCATAGCAGGGGTGCAAATCCATCACAGGACACAGTTGGAGGAGAATTTGGAAAGGCCTGTTCACATAATTGGGCATCTTTGGATTGTGGGAAGACACCATATCACCCAATAGAAGCCCACACAGCTATGAGGACAACACACATGGAGCCTGGGATGGGATTTGAACCCACAACCCTAGCGGTGTGATATCACTGGTGCTACACTGAGCCACCACACAAGCCTTTCAGGTAGTATCCTCACTTTTTTGTTAAATAGGGAGGTGTGTGGCTCAGCAGGTCAGGACACCATTCCTGTGAACAGAAGGTTGCAGGTTCAAAGCATAGGGTTGGCAGAATGATTTCACTGTTGAACCCCTAAGCAAGGCCCTCAACCCCCAATTGCTCCAGGCTATAGTGCCTGAAAAATAAATGAAGGCCTTTTGCTTATGATGCAGTTTAAAACTTCCCAGTAACGTTGTTGGCACAGATAAGCCTGACTATGTTTCGACAGCAGAGCCCCCCAGTAACTGAAAGGACAGAAAGCCTGAGTTCTTACCATTCGCCCAGCTAACTGTGTTGTGTTACAGCAGAGTCTGAGATTTTCAGGCTGCCAGCATGACCTGCTGGTCATCTCAGGAGCTTGGGTGTTGGACTCCCTGTGCAGCATCACGAAACTAAATGTAAAAATGCAAGAGGAGGGGAAAGGGCAAGTCCATTCAACGTATCTCCACCCTCCTCAGAATTATGGTGTGATTTGGTACATTCTACTGTTCATCTAGCATGTCCTTCAAACGGTTGTTTGTTATGCTCCTCTTTCCAGCATGTACCACATGTATGGGGTTTAATTTCAGGACAATACAGTTAGCACTTTATTTGAAATGCTCTTGCTTTGGTCAAAACCATTGCTCAGCTGCTGCCACTCCCCCCGGGAAAGGTGTCCTTTGGTACAGTCCGGGAACTGCTCACTCACGTAGAGATGGTACTTTGGCAACCGGTTATGGTGATGTAGGGGAAAGCTGCCAACAAAGCAAGGGTTTGGGTACCCACCTGAGAGAACCTGCGGAGGTGTGCGGTTAGCGTTAGCACGTCGCTAACCAGCCTTCTATTTTAACGAGCTAGCGGCTAGGCGCTATCCCCATGGCTTTCTCACATGTGATCAAAGGTGAACAGTACCCTGAACCCTACACCTGCTAATAGGTGCTAAATTAAATAAACGCAAAAGAAACAAACCCAGTCCTTTGTTTAAAATGGCCTGAGGATTCATCAAAGAAGAGAACGGCCTCTTGGAATTTTTTAGCTAAAACAATTTTGTATGCTATTTTATGCATCAAGTATGAATTCAATATTCTATTTAGGCTGATAAGTCTTGTAATTAGCAGAACTTCCACCAACTTACTGTTTAACCTTCTGACTTTCAGGCCACATTGAATCCTAACACTGCCTCAGGAATCCCTGAAGCTCTCCCAAGAAAGAATGCTTTTGGACATACAGGTAGGCACCTAATGTTCTCTGCCAAAAATGCTACTGACTGGAGCAGAAAAAATATCTGGGAACGGTGTAACATTTCGCACTGCTGTGAAAAATCAGCTCCGTCTTTATCCACATTGAATATTGGTGTCGCCTGTTCCCTGCGGAAGCTATGCCTGTACAGTATATATGAATGTATTATGCATTCGTGAGAACATTATGCATTGTTTGATGCATAATCAGCATGGTGTCTCAGTGGGTAGTGCTGAGGTTTCAAACCCCCAGCTCGTCGTGGGGGGAGCTTGCATATTCTCTCTGTCTTTGCACAGATTATCTCCACGCTCTCCAGTTTCCCGCTGGAATCCAAAGACTTGCAGTTACCTTCTCTAAATAGAGGTGGTATGTATGTGACTGTGTGCTCTGCGATGTCCCTAACCCTAACCCTGTGATATGGATGGATGGACAGAGGGATAGTATTTATAGATCTAATATTGGCATGTAATTACCGACAGCTCGATATGTCTGCTCTGAATAATAACACTGCTGGGACAGCTGTAGCTGTATATGATTCACCCCCCTCCCTGAATGTCCATGTCAAATGTTTGGAAACGGAGAGAAACAGACAAGTGTATATTGACAGGTACCAGTCACCAAAGGTTTCATGCACGGTTCCTTGAAGGCACGTTACACGTTACTTCAGGACTGAAATTCACCAAAGTGAGTAGAACACCATGGGCATCTAAGTGGTCTAACAGACTGCATTTCTTTGCCTGTGCCCCCCCCTCCCCCATAGTAATTGCCAAGCTGAGACCTTGGGTGCTGACGGAAAACACTGGTGACCTGGAGGCCGGCAGCCCCCCCAGAGCCTGTAAACAAACACTTTGTGTTTGCAACAGGGACAGCCAGCTGTTAGTCCAAATTCAAGAGTGGGGGGTCGGGTGGGGGACAGGAGTCTTGAATATATTGCTGTGATTATCTGCTGCAGCGAAACCCTGGGCGGTAAGTCTGGTGTATTACAGAACTTCTCTGGTACCAGGAGCCCCAGATGTCCTCCTGACCTGCGCCACACCTGGCGCCGTTGTAACACCTACAATAGACACACAGACCTTATGTGCTGCTTCTCCAGGTGAATCTTTGTAAATCCTCCCTGCTTTCATTATCCGTGCCACGGTCTCTGCGTAGCCCTTATCCACGAGTTCCTCCGCATTGCCGAGCAGACGCCGATCTGACCCCATCTGACCTCAGAATTATTTTGGTATTGAACAAATCTTACACTCCCTCCAGGATCTGAGCTACTTCAGGCTGTAAACATCCAAATAACTACCTTGCATACATACTTAACGTGGTAAATGAGGAATAGTAGCCATATAATATGCTACTACTTGGCTTCCCTGTCTTAACAGGGGGGGAGAGAATCAAGTCCTGAGGGACGGCAGACTGTGGTCTTAACTAGCACCAGTCACAGTTATATTCAGTCCTCTCAGGCATAGATGTACAGGCAGATATATAATAATGCAATTTGGCCTATGTTACAACCAAGAATGCCCCCCCCCCCCCGAAGACTTCCACTTCCAAGACCCCTAAGCTCCACAGCCGTCACCTGACAGTCTTCTTAATACCACAAATGGAATTCTGCAGTGTAGCCCGGCCCATCCGCCAGCAATGGATTAGGAAAAGGAGCGTGCTTATTGCAGAGATAGATTTTTGTCTATGCTCCAGTAGTCATGGTAACAAATGTAGAGGTTTTAGCAATTGGATTATACAGTAAAGACGATTTGGAGTTTTAATATTAAAAACAGGTTTTCCTGCAGTCCAGAATAGTCTTCACTGATACAGAGAGCAGTTTTGAAATGTACTATAACTGGAAGGTACCACACGATTAAATGAAAAACAACACTCTCTGTTCCATGAGCTCTTGGATAACTTGGAATGGTGCCCAAATATAGTATCATAACTTCAAAAATATTATATGCTGTTTGTGTCCCTCCTTTCCTAACAGAATAGGCCAAAGTAATTCAAATGCAAAAGAAGGGTAACAAGGGACAAACTGATTTAATAGAGAATTGCAAATCCAGTTTTTACACTAAATGAAAGCCAAAAGGAAAGGTATTTCACGATCAAAAGCAAAACAAAACAATTAATTTGTATGAAATGTTTTTCACCACGATTTTCCCATGGCACATGTAAAGGTGTTAAGCAACTGCATTTCAAAAGCATATGTCTGCTAATTAAAGGGAGCGTTCAGAATGAATGGAATTTAAAAATGCAGTTAAATAGTTTGTCCTGTAATACTTTTACAGATTAGCTTTGTTTAACGTATCATGCAACTTCCTGTAGAGTTTGGGTCTTTATAGTAAAAATAATTGTCACAATTCGACCAGCCAATTATCAGCACTTGCCTGATGTTAGACTTGTTTGATGACTATATAATGGGGTGAGCAATATATCAGAAAAAGGAATTTAACCCTGATGTATGTAAATCACAACCGCAAAGGCAGAGTCATTTTGGGATGAATGTCAGTTAGCAGCATGTGTGTCAGCTAGGAATGAGGCCTGACAATCAAAACCTCAATGTGGCAGCTAACTGAGCACCAAGAGGCCAAAGAGCTGCCACCAAATAGCAGAGCAGTTGCTAACGGCAGGACTGGAACTGAGAAATTACTTGCATCCAAGGCTAATGTACAAAGATGAAGGAGCACAGATCCAGGACCCTGGAGCAAAGAGTAATATGATCTGCTGAGTCACTTTTCACCCTTTTTTTTTTTTATTGTTTTGAGAAAAAAACAAAAAGGACGCCTTCACTTCACAATGTCAGCTGTCAGCTGCAGTGGAGGACGGTCATCCCACGAATATGAGGTCATTTTACAGGCTATATCCACTGCACCATAAACCCCCCCCCCCCAAACAGACTGAAGAGCAGCTTCTTAGAGTCCCCGATGATGTCACACGCAGTGTGTGAAATACCTGTCAATATTCGGGGGAGGGGTCCCCATCTCCTTATTGTCGTGCAATACCGATTTTGAGACCCCCTTAAAATTTTGCTTTTGAGGCTTACAGGGGATCTCATGGGTTAATCAGGGGTGTCGGAACCCCCCCCCCCAGGACCCGCCCGTATTTCGCACCCTGGTCACACGCCTTCCATGGTGCCCCCAGCTCCCCCATGTGCACATTACTGGACCTTTATGGGGAGTTCGACAGCACAGAATGTAAAGTACATTTCCATTTCCTGGCTCTTTCAGAACTGCTATTCTCCTAGAGCCCTATTATTCAAATCACGGTCCTCGAGGTTGGAGCACTGCCGTTTTTCCAGCCTTCCTTTACCTGTGAGCCAGGTGGGAAGCCTCTAACCAATCAGAATCAGTAATTATTAAACTAACTACCTTGGTGAACTGAAAACAAAGCCTGGATTTGGAATCGATGTCCAGATTTGAAGAACTCTGTCCTAGATGAATGCTCTAACATCTCACTCACTGCAGTTCAGGACATATATGACAGTGTTCCGAGAAGGATTGGCTCTGATCTGAAGGCAAAAGGTAGCCCTAATACTTATGAAGCACTTTATATTAATATTCCTGCGCCATATATTTATATTTACTTCATATACGTTTAACTTGTTTAGTTAAAAATCAACGCCAGGAGCGCAGCTTCGCTTCTCCCGGGTCCCGCTGCAAAATTACTCCAATTAATGGGTGAATAAGTGAATTCGTTTATTAAACAACATGCGGCGATTAATTTATGCATGTTACGTTTCTCAAGGCAGTTTGCATATTATTAAGACAATAGGATGCGAGGAAAGGCTTGAGAAAGAAGAGGGCGACTTTATGATCTTGGGGGGAGGAGTTCTGGGGTTAGATTACGGCCGGACGCGGGCTGATCCCCGGGCACCTGACAGGTGCGGGGCGGTGCCGAGCCGCGGGTACCTGCGGTGTCACGGTGCCGATTCGCAGCAATAGTCGGGCGGGTCAGTGTTTGTACAGAGAAAAAGCCTCAGTGTCTCAGTAAAGGGGGGGGGGGGGTATACGGATACCGTAATGAGTACATCTCAGCTGCGGAGGAAGTGAAATTCAAAGGAACTCTGTCTGGTAAGTAGGTGCTCTTTGTGCATAGATGGTGGGAATGTATTATAAAATCAAATAAACAGCCAGAGAGATGTATAAAGTCTTCGCGGTATTCCGGTATGTATTATAAAGGAGTGAATGCCCTAGCTGCAAAACAAAGGCACCATATTCATCATTCTCGCGGATGGTGGTTGTTTGTCATAGGGGTGGAGAGTGTGATCTGTTTGTCTAGCTTTTCTCTTTATTTTGGTCTGGAGTATATTCAGCCATGTGCAGCTCCTACCTCGCCGCGCACCGGCGGCGCGCGCTTTAATCCGAAGTATCGCGACGCGTCGCCATGGCAACAGGGACTCGACATCCCGCATGATTGACAGCAAAGGAAGGAGAAAACAACGAAAAACCCAGATCACAGGCCTTAGCAGGGGGTGGGTGGAAGGGGGGGGTCGCTTGCTGTATATCTGAGAGCACCTACTCGAATGTCACAGCACGGCTATGGTGTCACCATGAACCCCCCCGCCTCTCCCGTTTTTCACGCAGGTGAAGAGATGGTGGGATCGTGCCCCCGCTGGCGCGGGCCGGCCAGTACGCCGGGTCCGGCTCCAGTCCGAACCGACCAGGTAGACGCTCTGTAATTCATGAATATGTAACGCTTCACTATCTACGCCTAACCTAAAAAAATCTACACCTATATTACGTGATCAAGTCTTTTTTTTCCTGAAACGGTCAACAGGATTTTACATTAAGTACATTTCTGGTGTGTATTTCTGTTCGTTTACTTATTTATTGCCTTTTTGAAGTCAGATCAAATAATACAGTCCCAGACTGACGTGGCCGCAAATGCAAGTAGGTCAGTCGTTGCACGTGAACTGGTTTTTAAACTGTTTTTAAATACCAGTACTGTGGTAACCATCAAAGTGGTGTATTCTCTGTTCTGAATGATTAGGAGAGAAAGATGCACCTATTCTCATAATGGAGTGTTTGTCCTGCTTTTAAAGGGCCCATCTTGTTTATGGTTTGTCAACCCAGATGGAAACGCCTGCATGAGCATATTGTCATTTAACTGCAGACGTTCTGCTAACTATCGTAGAAATGCCCCCCCCCCCCCCCCAAGACATCGTTCTCCGGGTTAATTTGCACAGCGCCCAAGTGTTCCCTGGCGGATTATACATTACCATGGTAACAACATCCCATTACGATCTAACCGCCGGAATCCTAAACAGTGACAGAGAAGTGCTGATTGTTCCCGGCCGTCGTTTTCTGATATCACTGAGGGAGGGGGCTTTTGTCCGAATGGCGGGGGTGGCGGAGAATTTCCGCGGTAATGAGCCTGCGTCGCTGAATCGGTGTTTTCGTCATGTAGGTACGGGAGGGGAGTCCTGCTTCGGTGGCAAATCATTCTCCACCCGGTCAGCTGAAGGAGCGGCAGAGAATTTGGCAGGGCGCCTCCCTCAGGGCGGGGCAGGAAGCGCTCTCAGGTGGCTACTCTCTCCATGGAATGGCGAGCTCACCTGGGCAATCAGCCGTCGTGGCGCCACCTGCTGTCGGCGCTGCGAATCGCCCCAAGTCAAGGTCAGGCTTCTCCTCCATCACGATCGCCTCACGGAAGGTGCCCCTTTCAACTGGCACCCCGGGCACAAGCCAGCCCGTCATGTCTGCAAGGTCCATCCGCACCGGAGCGCGATGCGACACCCCTGTGGACCCCTCAAGGCAACCGGTCACCAGTCAGAGAAAGGCGACTATCATCAAGGTGACCGGTCGCAGGCAGAGTCTCCCTGCGGCGCAGCCGCTCGCCGCCATGCGCCCGCCCGCTTTCTGGCACGGCCGCGCCGGGTGGGGAGATGAACAAAACGACTCGTCACCCTGGCATGGTGTTTGGGCCGGTGCCCCTCCAGAGGCGTTGGAGCCCCCTGCCCGCCCCACCCTGTTCCTGAGTAACCCAGACGTCTCGCAGGAGGGCAAACCGACGGTACACAGGTCCACCTTATGCCTTTACCTAAAAAGCCCTGTTGGTAGAGGGTCAGCCCTGGAAGGGAAGGAGACGGAGGCCTCAGTTCGCCCCAGGAGGCCCCTGAGCTTTGCCGGAGGCCTCGGACTCGGAGGCCCGTATGAGGCAGAAATGCTGCATCCGAGGCGAGCCAGCCTCCAGCTTCCTGGGCACGGCGGGACAGGCTGCAGTATGGACACACTCGCTTCTGCGGCAGGCCTGTCATGCAGCAATGCGGCCTGCACTCCCATGCAACCCCACAGCTCTGCTGAAAAGGCTCTCGCTGAAGCCCGAGGTACGTGCTGTGGACACTCTCCTCAAGCACACGCTCTCATCTCCACCTGTTTGCACTACTCTCATAACTGGCTGCAGGTTTTGTTGCGTCCCTTACTTAACTAACTGGCCGCAGGTTTTGTCGCGTGCCTTGCTCCCTGATTCTGGTGCCCGGTGCTGCATTCTCTCTTTGACCCCACGTGCAGTGTTGACCCCCCCCCCCCCCCCGGTTGATAAATGCCGCAGCGCTGCACTGGAGCAGCAACGTGCTGCCACCTGCATGCTTCTCATCCCTGTGCATTTCCCAGCATGCAATGTGTCACACGCCTCTCTCACGTGCAGCCACTGGGGAAGCAAAACCGTTTTAGAGTACTGAGAACAAAGCGGGCGTGAGAGGCGACTTGGATCCAGCTTTCAATAACCAGGTCGGAGCTGAAGGTGCCACTTTAAAGAAAATGAGTGACTCACTTAAAGGTTCTTAACTTCAAACTTTAATAAAAGTCCTTTTCTCGTTGGTAAATGTCTCGCAAGGCTCCAGCTCTCTCCCTCCAAAATGTTTTGGCTGCCTGTCATTCTCGGCATAAATGTTAGAGGTTCAGTGCAAATACCATTGAAATGAATGTTTAATAATTAGTAAATAAAGATGCATCTCTGAAATGAAGGGAAACAGACGGGCAGACTGTGTTACGGACACCCCCTTTACACAAGTGCGGTGGCTGTTGGTTCTTAAGGTCAGCAGGTGACCAGTCCAGGTGTGACGCTGGTCAGGCCCAGTTATACCATCAGAAGATTGGCCCGGATTCCCATTGGCTCCAGGTCGCTTAGATCAACATTGATTTAGGCAGAGAGGACTCACAGGTGACCTTGAAGCGACATGGAGGTTCTTCATGGTTGCAGGAGAGTGAGACAGTCTCTCTTTTTTGTGACTCATGTTCTCTTCATATCATTCTGGCGTTTAAAGCATGCAGAGATTCCACCACAATGTTCTAAAAGCCGGATGTCGGATGAGATATTCTCCGTCCTTTCTGTTTGCTAGCAGGTTCTGCTCTTCTCTCCCCCCCCCCCAGATCGTGGCGCATACCAAAGTCCGGATGTCGCCTTGAGTGCTGCTGTGGTTATAGCTAATATAAAATGGCAGAGTCGGCTGAGGAAGATGGTAGCTGGTGCCCAGGCCGAGGGCTCGGAGGTGCCCCCCCACGCCGCCTGCACTCTGGGTAACGCTCCGCATGCCTCGCCAAAAACCTGCTGACATCAGATCTGCAAACTCATTGGTTGATTCGAGGGAGTACCCATACTCGTACCCATACTCGTGCCCATACTCGTACCCATACTCGTACCCATACTCATCAAATATTGCAGCTCGGTGTTAAATGTATAATTAACTCACCCCAAGGTGAATACTTCCTTACTAGAGTTAACATTGTATATTAATATACAACCTAAATGTATTACAGTAACTGATTTCCTATATCTGACATCCTGGTGGTAAATACTGTATTCTTGGCAATTAGCTACAGCCTAACCTAGCAAGCAGGCTTCCTAGCTCCCAGCTCTCCTGGACGTTCTGGACGTCTCCCGGAAGCTGACGGCAGCACCCTGCCACCTGTGAATGATGGGCAGGGAGTGGAAGTCTGTCGCTGCGTTTTCAGCAGCCAGCAAGAACCTCAATCCCGTCCCACCTGCTTGGCAGTATTTGCCACCTCCCTCTAGCCCTGACTGGCAAAATTTGCCATCAGATTTTAAATACTGTTCCTGTCCAGCTGTTATAATGTGGCATATGGTATTTTGGACATTATGTTAAAAGCAATGCTATTCTGCTAATGCTATTGGAGGGGTGTTCGCAAAAATGCCATGATATACACAGCGTTGGGGAAGAGGTGTAAAGTTCAGGTCCAGAAAGTACAAATCCAGACCAAGGTTTTGGTTCAACCAGCCAGTTGAATACTCTGTGACTGTGACTCTTTATATTCAACTGGTTGGTTGAAACAAAACCTTGGTCTGGATTTGTACTTTCTGGACCTGAACTTCCCACCTGGATTACTTTTGTGAATAACTTCCCCAACACTGATGATATGTGGTATCACTGTAATAACACCCTGGCCTAGCCACCAAACCCCCCCCCCCCCCCCCCTGTGAAAATGCCTAAGGCAGGATGTCTGAGCAGGTTGCAGGCAATTGGGCTGGTCTGCTAAATTTGTGTTGCAGCTGCTGCTTGGGTTTCAATCCCGCCTTAGGCTCTCGTTTTGTTCTGGTTGCTCTGATTGGCACAACCCTTCCCACCCTGTACAGAGGACCTTGGAAACTCTACATTTAGCAGACTGAGCCGTTGGTAGCTGATATGATCTGGTCTGCATTACCTAGTAGCAGTAGGCATGTGGGTATATGGTGGACATCCAAACAGCTCCCAGTTAAAATCAGGTGATTCTATGCTGGTTTTCTGCTAAAGACAGAAGAATTCATACTAATGAGAAGCGACTCAGAGGAAAGAGAAGCAGCGTAAGAGGTAAGACAGCTATAAATGGCTCACTTAAGTACTTTATTATACACTGGCTGATCAGTGACATCAGACAGAGAAATATACTCCATAGTGAGGTAATGGCTTCATATTCCCAGACCAGCTTGATCCTCCATGACTGGAGGACAGGAGATCCTTCATAAGGAGATAGTTACGTTGATGAAATATTCTGCAGAAACAGTGGCTTTTCCCGTAAGACGATGAAACATTCCCCCGATTTATAAAAATGTTCTCAGAGATCATAAAATGTTTCCTGACTTATTAAATCGTCCCTTTAATATATGACATTGTTCTCACATTTTTTTGGTCACGTCTCCCCCCGGGCTCCATGCATAAGTGTGAATTAAAGTTATTATCTCAAAGACTGGGGCAGAGGGCCATTCCGAACTGTAAAACCGACAGGAGCCACAAGCCTTTAAACAGAAGCTGATTAGAATGGTAAAGGTGGCAGGCATGGACAGGACAGGACTTTAAACTGGCAAACGGGTGAAAAGTTTGCTTTGTAGAGTTAAGGATATGACCAAAACCCGCTTTGAAAATGGTGGCATGTGGCCTCTGTGATTGTGACCGGAAGGTTGTCAGTTTGAATCCCATCGTCGGCAGAATAGTGTCTGTTGGGCCTTTAACTCCCCCAAAAAGATTCTGGGGGTGTCAGATGAATGGCTGACTGTATGCTTGGATGCTCAGCTTTGCTCCCAGCTTGGCTGTGTGTGTATGTGTCTCAGAGAAGAGCATGATGGCGTATGTGACAACTAAATATTTTTAATGTACTTGTGCAAATGGCAAATCATATTTCATTAAAGAAAGAGTGGGTTGCTTCTGGTCATACTGGGAGAGCTTAGTTGTACCAAATGATGTTCTCTGTCCAGCAGGTCTGGGGCTCCCTGGAGCAGACCACTCTGGACCCTGCCCAGAAGTGGAGGATGCTGGGAGTGACCGGATGACTGAGGAGGTGCCTGTCCCTTCCCACCCTGAGGTGCGGGACAGCCCTCAGAAAGACCTCACCCTGCAAGTACGATTTGGGCTCTTGCTCGGCCTCCATGACTATAAAAACAAATCCTGTCTTTATGTAAGAGTTCTGCAGTAAGGAGTTACGATCCGACCTTCGATTTATTCATGCTTTTATAAGTGAGTAGTAATGTGATGTGCTGCATGTGTCCTATTAGATTGTGATTCAGCCTCAAACGCTCTGCGGAGGATATGGTTAAAATAATACTGGGATGCAGATTACCCAGCCCCAGCACAAAATTAACCGTGTCTGTGAGTTCAGCTGCTGAAGACTGTGTGATTATTCTGTGGGGGTGGTGTGGGGGGGCATCTCTACCACGCCTCGGCGCTGGGACTAACGCCAGCAAGTCTTTCCCACATTTATATAGTTCTTATTATTCTTTTGTCTTCATTTATTTTCAAACTGGCTTGTTTGGTTTATACCCCCTTGACAATTTGCACACTTGGTATGATTGATTTGATGGTTGAATTTTATAGATAAGATTGATTGGTTAATTAGTTGATTTGTCGCCTGATTGGTTGACGGACCGGCCAATCGATTTGCAGGAGGCCCTGCAGCGTTTCCGGCCCGATTTCATCCGTCGCTCCCGTGGCCGGCAGAAGGAGCTGGAGCAGCGTGCGCTGGAGAGACGGGCTCAGCGAGGTCCAGACCCCGCTCAGACCTTGGGCCGCGGTGGCACCAGAAGCAGTCCGCTCCGCAGTAAGGCCCCCTGTCCTGTCCGCGCATGTCCGCCCCTCCCCCGTTTCTGCTCCGGCCCCCATTGTCCACCTGCAGCTGCAGTGGCAGCATGCCACTGTCTGGCCTGTTGTGTGCGACGCAGCACAAAGCCGTGGCTGTCTGTCTAAATGGACAAAACGCGAGTTAAAATGGACGTTTGTGTCGGCTTCCGGCAGCGTTCCAGCTTAAAATTCATTTTCGGGGAAAGAAATATTAGCGGTTAAGACGTCACCAATATATACTGCCAATTAGGACATTTACCATGATGGTTTTAAAGTGAGTTGATAATGTAATTTGCCTTTCTCCAAGATGGAAAGCAACTCCTATACAAGCATTAGTATATCGTGGTCAAAAATTGTTATTTTGTAGTGTTTCCTGCCCTCTGCTGGAATAGTGTTGAACTGCACCTGTCTAAAATTTTAGTTATTAGACAGCTCAAGAGGATATTTTGCATTATTCTAGTAAAATTACGCATTATTCAAGTCACTCTGTTAGTCAGTAAAATTACTTTTATTTTCATTATTGTATAGATTTTACAATCTCCAATAACTTAACTGCACATCATACATTAGTAAATGTAGATTTACTATATTTAAACTAATTTTCATTTAAATGAAAACAACATTTCAAAGTGATGCTATTCTCTAGTATTTCAACATCAATTATCTCAATTTTATAATTAGATAAAAAAATTTATATGATGTATTCATACACTTATATTATATATATATATTTGTTTATTATGCAGTTTATTAAACTTACAACAGTTTTACATATCCACAAAAGACAGACTGGGAAAACAAGTCAAGGATGTGATAGAAAATTAGCCAGAACTGTATCTAATAAACATGTAATTTGAGAATTACAAGCCACTTATGTGAAAACCTGGGCGCTTTTCCTTTAAATAGCCCAACCAGCGTAGGACTGAAGATCCTATTTAAATGTGTGAAAGTCTGATGTAGCTGTGATTTTCTCTGTGTTCAGTCCTTTGTGACTAATACGACGTTCTACTCTGCCTAAGTTGGGCAATTATGAATCCTTGAGATATACTTAGCGAATGAATTGGGTGAAACAAAAAAAAAGAATTGCAATCAAACCCAAATTTAAGTGCCTGTATTATTGCATCCACACCTCTAATTCAGCGGCATTGTGTCTCCCTGATGACTTAATTTCAGCAAATGCTTTGTTGTTTCTCACACAACTGCAAGCGTGTCCTATGAAAAGTTATTGCCAAACACCATTTTCCGATAGCAGTTCCCCAATAATCAACGTTAAATGATGAGGCTCGCTATGAAATATCATTTTTGATTAAGTCTTCTATAAAAAAATCTGCGTAATTAGGCTTGATTAAATGCAGCAGGGACAGAATCTTTGAACATGCAGCTGCTGAATGCTGAGTGTCATCTGGCATCTTTGCTCTCCTGGTGCCATCGGCCTCATTTAGCCGTAAATTAAACGATTCTGCTTTACCAAACCCCTTTGCCATCTGGCTCCCTAAATCTTTAAAAGGTGCAAAAATATTCTGATGTGTTTTACCATCTATAGGGTGACAGGTAACTGAGAACATCAGATAATGGACCATCCATCCATCCATTTTCTGTACCTGTCCATCCTATGCTGGGTTGCAGGGGTCTGGAGCCTATCCCAGAAGCTACACTGATTTTTTTTTAATTATTTTTTTCCTGTAATTAACTATTTGTGGTATCAAAATATACAAAATACAAGCACAGCAACTGTGGAAGTTCATAGTACAAGTTCATATGTGCCACTTGTTGATAATGATCAGACAGGCTTTCTGTTCCGATGTAGAGGGTGGGGTTTGAAATCAGCATCTCCATGACCTCGGGTGTGATTGCGTAGCTGCGTGTGTTGGCAGGTAACCCTCGAAAGCCCAAGCAAGGAGCCATCGGCGGCGAGAAGGTGCTTCATTCATGCAGAAGGTGAGTGTCATGGCAGATGAATGCTGAATGACAATACCCCCCCCCCCCCCCCACACACACACACACACCAAACAGGCTTGGTTTTGGAGTCCCAGATGTGGACCACCTCTCCTATGAAATTCCTGAACAGTGACTCCAACAGGTAGCTGTTATCGCAGAGACCTGCACTTGGAACCGGAAGGTTATGGGATCAGGTCCCCAAAGCAACCTGCTTTTATACCCCTGAGGAAAGTAATGCCATGGTATAAATATACTCTACTGTTGTCAAAAATATCAGGAAATGTATAATTGTGACTGTATTCTGAGTGACCTGAATCAAATTGCATTTATATAATTCCTCAGCACATACTTTTATGCAAAGCCAGTTACATATTCACAGTTTCACAAGTTAAGCAATTCAGATCTAGCACATTTCTCAAGGGTACAACATCAGAGCTCTACATGAGACTATAACCCACAATCATCTTTTTCCTAACAGTTTTTTTTCTCCTTAGTTGCAAAGCCAACTAACATCCTAATGCACATAGTATTGCATCCAAAATTGCTAATGTTTTAACACTGGCTGAAAGTCTACTCACATGCATGACACCTCATTGGCTGTGGCATGCGACCAGGTCTACTACCTTGGGAGAACAAGTAGGAAAGTTGGGGAACTTCCTAATCTTAGGTCACCTCAAAGGGTGAAAGTGCCAGACGATTGACCAGTATGAGAACCTGAAACTGAAAATCAGAATCTCCTGGCTGCTGTCAGAGTGAACAGTGTCAGCATCCCTAAACAGAGACCCTTAGCTTTTCCCTCCAAAACGAAGTCTTCTGCGCTGATTCCAAACGTTAACAGGAATGACAGACGCCCGTCTGAAACCAAGAAGAAGGGAGAGGAGGAGGAAAAAAAGAGAGTGATGACGCAGACCAACAGGATGAGAGCAGAGATTTTTAAAAAGGTAAGATCGTCTCAGCCCATCAGGGTCCAAATAAGCGGCGTGGATCCGGGAATCAGACCGTCTGGTCCGAGTGGAGCTGACAGTCTTGTCCTCGTTAATAATTATAATTTGTGTTGTTTATCTTGTTGAATCCACAGACACTTTGTGTGTTACTTATAAACATTATGAACATTTATTATAATGCATCTCTACAGGCGAACTATGTTTTCTATAGTAGCATCAGTTGTAATAAAACAATACAAGCTTAGATTAGCAATATCCTTTATATTGGTCTTACAATTTAAGTAAAAAGCCATACATTTTTATAGTTATATTTAAAGTATTTTCTCTACACTTTAAATTGTCTGTTAGAAATAGGACTATTAAATAAATGGTCGGATGTGAAAAGCCCACAGTTAGTTTGAAGCAGTGGGACATACGGGAGTTTTGGTGATTTCCGTGTTTCCTGCGCAGAGGGCTACCTGCGCCCGCTGCAGGGTAGTGATGTCACGCTCGCCTACGATCCAATTCTCCGAGCTCATTGGCATTAATGATGAAAGGAGTCAAGTTGTACTTGAGAGCCGTTCTTTTTTTTTATCTTTGTGTCTATATTTCACTGCCTACTGTAAATCCATTCCACTCCGTTTCACGTGAACAGTAACAGCCAACCAGGCACAAGAGGTAGACTTTCTTGCGTTAGGTTCCTTTCGGGCAGAATGAGCAGGATTTGTGCCAACGAAAAGTTTTCAAATATTAAGTGTTGCATGAATTGCATTCAAGGTAAGGCAACTTTATTTACATAACACATTTTATACAGAGGGGGGCGCAATGGTTGCGCAGGGATTAGCACTGTTGAATCACAGCTCTGGGACCAACTCATGGGCGTTTTAATTACACAAAAATATTCTGAGGGCAGAATGAAAAATGATTGTTTCAGAGGGATAACCAATCAGGTTGTAGAGGAGGTAGGAGAGCCGTCATTCCCAACAGTTGTGAGTGTGCACTGTCCCTGTCCGCTCATCATGTGACCGAATGACCATCTGATTGGCCTTCAGCTGGCTGGCCGTGAACTCTGCTGTGTCGCTGCCTATAACTGGTGTCGCCCCCATCTGGTCATTTAAAATATATTCATTCATTACTTTTCCATTTACATCGCAAGGTATGCTGGAATTCACCACACCCCCATTCCTGATATTTTTAAAAATAATTCATGGACATTTAATGCATAAAATGGCAAGTAGTCAAATTATTTAGGGATTAAGAACGTTTGGATAGTGAGGCACATATAATTCGTTTATTACCTTTCTGTCCAGCAGAGGTCACTGTTGAGCTTCTTGAGGAGGGTTTCTTGTAAGATTTCATGGCTGCAGCCTGTGACAGGCTGACAAACTGGCAGAACTGGAGATATCCTTTGGCAATCTCTGGACCCCCTGAGGCTCCCACAGCTACCTCTTAGAACCCACACTTACTGAGTGAAATACTGAAAGGATGTCAAATGTGTAAAATTACATATTCGTGACTTATTTTGCCTATACATTATACCTCTACTGTCATTTTGACCTTGTCCTGTTGATATGGTAATTACAGGCTTGTATTGTCATTGCAATTATTGTATTCGCTATATTTTGATATCCTCCTGAGACCCGACCTATTCATTTATGTCCATTGTAGTGGACATTGTATTTTTGCATTTATTTTTTCACTGATGTTGGGAAACGTATTTATTCTCGTTGTGCACTAAAGAGGACATGCTGTGAAATTAAAATAAGAATAAATTTGAAAAAATCAAAATTATAAGATGTCTTATTTCCTCCAAAGACAAATAACCTACAATTGAAGGACACTTTTTCCCTTGGGTCTCAGGAGGATATACTGTGGGTTGTGCATTCGAGTCCCTCCTCTGTGTCTGGAGTTTGCATGTTCGTCCTGCATCACTCAGGTTTTCCCTGCGACTCTGGCTTCCTGCTGCAGTAAAAAGGCACGCAGCTAGGCTAATTGGCATCTCTGAATTGCCTGTAGTGTGTGTGCTGAGTCTGTGTGTGTGTTTGTGCCCGGTTGTTGACTGGTTTCCCGTCCAAGGCAGACTCTAGCCCCGTGCCCTATGCTGCCTGGGACAGAGTCCAGCTCCCCTATGACCCCGACAAGGATAAATGGATAGAAAATGTATGGAGGGATAAACCCAGGATTTGACATAATCCCCTGACCCCGTCACCTGATGCTGCGTTTGACACCAGAAAGAATCCTCACGGAGAAATTGTCCACAGACGACGCAGTGTTTATAAATTGTGATGAAGGATGTGTCTAATCTGAGACAGCCTCCAGGGGAATCTATCCGCCAAGCGGACTTTTTTCAAAGACACACGTCGTTCCGAATTCCGTGAGCTTGGCTCGCCTTGAAACAGGCACCCGGGGGTGGGGGGGGGGGGGGGCTAATGCTAAATATAAGCTCAATATTTGCGTGAAGGTGGGTTTTTTTTGTGGCTATGTTGGCCCCCAGCCCTCGCCCTCTGCTGCCAAGTTGCGGTGGGTACCCACACAGGAGCTTGGAGGACCGTTGCTGGCAGGTTAGCCAGGGTCCGACCCCTCACCCCCAGCAAAACTGCCCCAAGCCCCCCCACGGCATCCGCACCTGGTCGTACCGAGACATTTGGAGGGGAGGAGCCGGGATTTGTGGAGGCAGACATCAGGCCTTCTGACGTCAGAACGGGGATCTGACTGGACAGGTGGACTGGCCGGGGGGGGCGGGGGAATGAGAAGGGGGGGGGGCAGGACGCCAGGATCTGAGACTGGACGTCTGGGGGCAGATTTATCCAGGAAGCAGATTCGGGGTGGAGGCATTTTCAAGAGAGAAAATAAAATAGCCCAGCCTGAAGGACGGGTCAATGGGCAGCTCATCAACCCCAATCTCAGCTCAGCCCCTGGGCGGCCATCTGTACGCAGTATTTTCCTTCATCCTCTAGTTATACCGACATAATTCCACAGGACGCGCTAAAAAACCATGGCCATCCTTCGCCTGATATTATAGTAACAGGCATAAATATCACTGACAGCCAGCTAGCAATCAGATCCATTACCGTAAAACTGAGCTTCCTGATGGAGCCATGGATATGAAATAGGTTTGAACTGCCATAAAACATGCTCTCAACTACAATCTGTTTTAATAGGTTTTTCTTTTTTCTTTTTTTTTGCAGAAGTTACTGGATCAGATTCTTCGGAGGAAGACTGACTGAAAGGACCTGGGGACGGACTGCTGCTACGAACACCCTCCCCAAAGAGCCGATTCAGCTCTGTCCCCCCATCCCATTCCATCCCACCCCCGCTCAGATCAGACCGGTTTCACCTGCAAGCCATTCAGGATTCCCTTTGAAAACCCGGCCTTAAGATGCGCCACATTCACCTGGCTCTCAGCCAGCCGCAGTTCCTCGATCGCTTTTCCCTTTGAGGAGTCATTTCGCGTTATTAGGGGTGAGACACCGGTGGGCGCGTGCAGAGGGAGACGCACTCATGAGGGGACATTAAGGCCCGCATAGAGCTAATGGCACTTTATCAGCCAATCCCGTCACTCCCTTTGTGTCGCCGCTCGCTTGCCATTCAACTGAGGAGTTGTGCATTCATTATGAGGAGGCGCCTGTGGGTTTAGATACAGGCAGATCAAGGGGAGTTTTAGGGGAGCGTGGCCACGGAGAAGCATCAGACCAGCGGGCCAGCGTCCCCAAAGTCATGCTGCCTGCAGCTCTGCAAGCCCAGTGCTGCCACCTTAATGTAATGCTGTGTAATAGCTAGTCATTAGAGGTGGCACGGTGGTGCAGTGGTTGGCATTGTTGCCTCACACCTGCTGAGGCCAGGGTTCGAGTCTTGGCTATGGTTCCACACGTCCGGAGTTTGCATGTTCTCCCTGTATCAGCGTGAGGTTTCCTCTGGGTGCTCCGCTCCTGCTCAAAAAACGTGCTGAGGCTATTGGAGTTACCAAATTGCCTGTAGGAGTGAGTGAATGGTATGTGAGTTTGTCCTGTGATGGGTTATAGAAAATACGTGGATGGATAGTTTGTACTTGCCCTTGTCGCTCCGCAAGGAGCACATTGCACTAATAATGCAAAGGTTGTGGGGTCAAGTCCAGCAGAGCACACATAAATGATGACCCTTCCTTCAACTGTAAATTACTCTGGATGAAGGGGTCAGATGAATGAAATTTAAAACGTCTGGCTTATCAGTGCTGTGTTACAACACCGTGATTTCGTAATGGCAAAGAATGTAACCAACTTGGGTTCAGCCAGATTAGAACGGTTGGGTTTCTAGGCTCAGCAACGCAAGGTTCTTGATGTTTATAAGGTGATGAAATAAGTCAATATACACAGATATCTGCTAGAAATCCGCTCCACGTTGCATAGCGCTTTTGTGCTTCATACTGTTCAAAGATTACTTCCTAATGTTGATCTTATGAGAGTGTAGCATGTCAACAAACTTACACAAAAAAATGTGGTCCTTTCAGATGTATCTGTATTAAAGTTTGCTTTGACAAATCTCTGGTTGCAGATTCCTTTGCCGGACTGGCTTCTCAGCTAAGGGGTCCCCTGCTTCATGGCCTGTGTATCCTGGGCTTAGGGGTTCTGAAAGATGGGTAGAAGGACGGATGGATAGAGGGATGGAAGGATGGAGGGATGGATGGATGAACACTTGTATATTTACTGTAACATGTCCTCTAGAGTTAATAAACCATGTTTGACGCCGTTTAAAATAAACTTTGACACTCAGGAATAGGTTCTATGAGGTTATTTCTTGGTTAAATTGGTAACAAAACAAGCCATGTTGCATTGCCACCATCACCTAGTCAATGTTATCACACCCCCTGGAGTTCCAGGGCTCTGTTCTTTTGAGCAGGAAATCCCAGTTAATGACGCTCAGGAGACCCATGGTTTGCATGGACACTGTCAGAGATATTTCAGACGATGTGACGGTGTTGACTCTTCAAATCCATTCTTTACTGGTTGCTGCACATGCGGCGTTTGGCGTGACGGGCTCGGCGTGATGGTCTACAGCGGGATTTTTAGTCGAGCCGTTTCTGTCCTCGTTCTGTGCGACTCAAAGCCATTCCTGTAGAAAGAGGAACTGCGCTGAATTTGTTGCCTGAAGATACAAGTCAACCTGCAGTTATCAAAATATAACCCTAAATATTAGCAGACAGCTAATTAAATAAGGTTGTACTTTCAGATAGACATTTCAGATTGAACACAGAAGCAATTTCACTCTGTGAAAAAGTAACATTTTCATGCAGAAAACGTAAGACATCTGTACGCTCCAAACAGATGCAATTTTCCTACTTCTATGCAAACGGTCCAATCGTTTGCCTTTTGGTGACGTCGGAATGAGTCCCTATATGTCAATAAAGTGAAACCGCAGGTCGTTACTTTGCATGAACGGATTTAATTGTGAGGGGGATAAATGACCAATTGTTTAGAGCCAATAAAGAGGCGTTTGAGGTCACAAGAGTCCACTTATACCACAAGGAAAGATTTACAATGACCACAAACGCTCCTGACGAGTGGATCATTTTGGCCGCTCTGTTGGCCAGTAATAAGATTTGACCCAGAAGAAGGAATTTGTTCTCTTTTAATTTGCATGTTTAAAAGCAGACATCCCCCCAGTCCGTGCCTCACTGCCGTAATCACCGCCCAAGACGGCGTGCTGCCATTTCCTCTTTTCACCAGCCGCTCCAGCTTCAAACGGTTGCTGACTTGGGTACATTCGCGGCCCGCATACGCCGTCATGCCCTTCCCCGATTGTTTCCCCAAAGATGTCAGGTTTCAGCGCTGCCCAAATGTAAAGCGAGAGTTCATGTTCATTAAAAGAGAGGCGAATTTCTGCTGCGGGTTTATTTATGATGCTTTTCATCTCTGCTGCTAGAGTGACCTGTGAAAAAACACAGACTCAACGATGTCACTTCCTGTTAGGATCAAACTGCAGAACTTTCATAGCCGATGCTTCGCACGCTGACATGCGTTTCACTTTTCCACATCGATTGGTGTCCTCTGGAGTGATTCTTAAGGCAACAGCCAATGATTGTTTGCAATGAGGTTCTTAAAGCAGTGGGGCATCCTGGGTGGGCGATACCATCAGCCTACATGATTGGAACATGCAGCTGACTTAACCTAAGGCTTGACCCTTTACCCTTGGTCCATCCATCTTGGAGTAGGGGAATGTGAAAGCCATTCATACAGCCCATTACGGAGGAAATCAAGCATCAAATAGCTCAAAAGTGGAGGTTAGCCATGAAATATCCCCTGTACCAAATTTCTGTTTGCACCAAAGGGCAAATAACTTTCAGAAAGACAACCTTGTAACTGGAAATAGCCAAAGTTTACAGGAACGGTCACAAATAAGACAGGTTCTGATTGTAAGAAGGTGCATTAGGTTCTGATTGTAAGACTAAATTATATCTTTAATCAGGACTGTGGCCTGATGTTGTACCCTAACTAAGTACATGTGGTAACGAAGCATCAACGTATTATATACTGCATGTGCATATTATGAATAGAAGAGCAGGTATTTACATCCTGGCATTTGCAGTGGAGTCAGATGAATGACCACAGCATTCCAGGCAGTCACTGGCCCCCCAGGTACCCAAAGCAGCCAAAACTGACCATCTGGGAGGTGCAGCCCCCTCCGGGGCAGTCCATGTGGCGGCCGCTGAGGCTTTCACTGGATTCTCATGGACGTACCCAGACTGAATGGGTGGCTGTTTCTTACCACCTGTCAGTTTCTTCTTGACATAAAGACTCTGTAAGTCCCCCTAGAGGATGGGAGAGGAACTGCGGGGGATAGATAGGAGTCTGTGTTGTTTCAACCATCTGCGCCTCCTTTTAGAGGTAATTTGCTGGAAATCATTAAAATGGTGTCCCTAGTCGCCCACAAATCACGTGGACCGAAAGCTAGTCCTCCCATCTTCCACAAGTATGCCAGTCCATGGCCGGGCGTCACACTCACACACACACACAGGCAGTTTAGAGATGCCAGTCTCCGGAGTGTGAGAGGAAATCAGACTGCCGGCAGGAAGCCCACTGAACAGGGTGAGAACATGCAAACTGCACACACACTGAGCCGGGGTGGGATTCGAACCTCTTACCGCAGTGTTCAAAGTGGCCTGTGACTCAGGGGGTAACCTAGAACCCCCCCCCCCAGGACAAAATATCACCTTTGACCCCCCCAAAGCAAGGTTGGCACTTTCAATATAAAGAAATATGAGGTCTAGCATGGGTACGATTTGCTGAGCAGAGGCAACCTTTGCAGCAGCCTAAATCTGCCAGAGTATCCCCCCCCCCCCTCTGGCGCCCCCTCCTGGAGGTGTAAGGCAGCAGCATTACTCACTGTGCCACCCCACTGCTCTTCGAGGGTACAATTACTTGTCACTGGGGCTGTACCCTCAAGGGTCAGCCAGTTGTACCATAGCTGTAGGTAAATGTGCCTTTTAGTCTAATTTAAGGTTCAGAAATGGACTGTGAGGAACATTCTTGTACCTTTGGGCTGCATTAACGCTGTTTGTACCAGGGCTGTACCCTTTTTCCTGGCAGTGTTTGGGCGCAAGGCAGTGAATAATTCAGGACGGGGTACCCGGCACAGGGCAGTACTCTAATATAATTGATTAAAAAATGTTATAAAGTGATTAATTTTTACTTGATGTCACGTTGTGAATTAACTTGTGGCTTAAGCTTGAGTTAATCAATACTCCCTGGAATCGCTCCATCTTCACCATTTCCAAGGTGCCTCAGGTGTGAGCTCAGCCCCAGACGTGGGAGAATGGGCAGCCATGCGGTCGTCACGTCACGCAGCTCTGTATTAAACAGAGTGGAACCACAGCATCTGCTGGCCTGTGGAGGTGCACTGCATGGGGCGCCGGCTAGCTGCTCCTGAGCACACCAGGAGCTCCGCAGCACTTCTGCACGTTTGCAGTGGCTGGTTAGTTCAAACAGGAAGCTGCTTCATGCTTTATGAAAGCGTTTTTTAATTGAATGTGAAAGATGAATACCCGTGACCCTATCCATGATAAACCGTTGAAATATGGGTAAATGATTCATGTAGCGCAAGTTTCCTGTCCTCCAGGTAACCCAGTACCCTCTAGCCGGCCAAAGACATGCAGTCTGGTGAATTAACACCTCTAACTCGCCTGTGGTGCATCGCTGTGTGTGTGAGTGTGATTCTGTGATTCATTGGCATCCGGACCAAGGTGTACCCCAGGCTTGATCGCTGTAGTGCCTGCAGTAGACACCAGGCCCAACTACAGCCCTGGCCGGGATAAGTGTTTGGACGATGGATGGATGGATGGAGTAATAATTGAGGGATAGACTCTAATAATCATAACAGTTATAGACATATTTCTGAATACAAAATGCAATATGAAATGCGTTTTTCCAAAATTTTACGTAAATCAGGGTTATTGGATTGTAACAATTTGCAGAATTTGAGTTGGAGGGCACTCCTGCTTTCTCGTACGTCTGGGGCTGTGGGTGTTTCTCATTGTGTAGAAAATACAATTCGGCTAATTGGTATCGTGTGATGGTGTGCATGTATGTGCTCTGCGATGGACTGGCATCCCATTCAGGGTATACCCCAGCGTTGTGCCCTGTGTTTCAGCTCCCACACCTCATGATCATGATTAGGTTGGTGATAGACGGTTGGATTTATGTAGAGTTTTGACAAGCCAACATCAGTCCAAAAAAAAACGTGCCGTGACCGGCTTTAGGACCCCGCGGACGCCTTTGACAACGCACATGGTCGTACTTGAAGACATGACTTCGCTTCACTGTAAAAACAGCTTGATCCGATGTCTGCGAGAGCCACATGCCATCTGCACCGTGCTGTCCCCTCTCTTTAGCTCTTCGCCTCCTTTCTCACGCACCTCTTCCTCGGACTTTAGACCTGACATTAAAGTTGATGAGTTCGCACGCAGCCGCGTGTCTGCGGGATCTCTCCAGCTGCGGGTCTCGTACATCCTGCCCGTCAGCTGTTTGATTCTCATATTATGGTGGAGCCGCTGTGAAGGGATTTCATCGCATTTTCTTCCCAAGCCGGGCGATATGACCATCCGGCAGTGGAAAGAAAACTTTGAAATTTTGACTGTCCTGTACCTCCTGTCATTATCGGCGAGGTGCAGCAGTGGCGATGTGCCACCCAGCCCGACTGGAGGTAAGGGTCCATCGATACCACGAAATTTACCGTGTGTGACCGCGGCTATATGCGATGACATATTGCTGACATTCAAAGCATGCCGATCGGCAAGTTGTTCTTCTATTGTCAACTGAATAATCTTCTCCTGATTATCGTGGACCGTGTCTCTATTCCTGTGTAAGTCAATCCTTGCTTTCTTTTGTTTTGAGACTAGTGTTATTTATTTATTTCTATAAACTACACCAGTCCAACTTGATGTGAGTCCCATAGGTAGCAATATACAGATGCGCGTTTTTAAATTGAACCACACGGTCAGACTGTCCATTGATATTTTTCTACCAAGGACGCATTTTTCATCCCGAAATCTGAAAGAAAAAGTTGCCCTTACTAACTTGCATGGAAGGGGCGAAACGAGCATTATGTAAAAATTCTTAAAGATTCGTAAGATGAATAAATGGTGGCAGATTTCAATGTCTTCTTGAGTTATGTGGGAAAGTAATTTATGCGTTTTCTGACAGAAGCATTTTGGCATCGTTTTGTCTGTTTTTACTACAGAACCACCCAGCCCGTTTCGGAAATGCAAATTTGCACGGTTTGATGAGTATTTTGCTTGGGGTCAGCCTGGAAATGCAGCAGGATTGTGTTAGTGGTTCTGTGTCAAAATACTTAAAAAACATTAAATGTCACCAGAAATTAAATCCTCGCCTCCCGGAATTTCTGTGAAATAAAACAAATGCAATTAATTATTCGTATACTATTTATTTACTACAATGGATAGGATGTAAAAAGAAGCATTAATTCTGGTTGTAACCCTTTGTTTTGACATACATGCGAGTAAACATAGCCGAATCCTTAAACATATGTATATTATTGATTTATAATGCACGCACTTTTTAGGTAAATGTATATAAGTATAAATGCATTAGCCTGTATATAACATGCTGTGAGATCTATGCCGGATGTGCTTCGGTCCGTCGCACAGGCTCAGACGAAGCTGACAGCCGGCGGTGCTGAGAGGCACAGGGCGGGGATCGAGCGCCGTCGGTGGGTCATTCCCAGGTTCACGGCGGACACATGTGGGCTGCGATCCAGCCTACAACTGACACCATACTCACAGCTTCAATGCCCGACGGACGCGTGCCTACTTGAAAAGTTTTATTTAGTGTGTTTCCAATGTTTACGCCGCTAATTACTCCCGTAATATGTGGATGCGAGTTAAATTTAGCGTGACCCGATCGTTTTGGGTGTAGTGAGGGAAAGATGTAGGAAATGGGACGAAAAGGTCGTCCTCTGAGGATACCCGTGCTCTACATGGCATTAACCGTTCTCTTATTTGTGTTTTTATTTTTCCATCTCATGTTTAATCTATTTGTCCACATTTGTGACATTTTGTTCTCGAATGGTATATGATGAATTAGGGCCGTCGTATACCGTCTTTGGCGCTCCGCTGATTACCATGCGCCTCGCCTATATTGTTTCCCTGACTTGTTAAATTGCTTGTAGCCCAGCACTTGAATGGGAGCCGGTAATAAATAGCTCCTGCAGCTCATCTTGACAGACCACTTTACAATGCATGGTTGAGTGTGTTTAGCTTTATACCCACAATACACGGCATGAGGGATTTGACGGCACGCGATTTCCCGGGGATGACATGCGGGAAAGGGAAAATCACATTTGAAGTGGGATCAGTTCTGGACCGCAGTCTTATGATTATTGTCCATAAACAAGGAACTTAAAAAGAAACCTACTGTAAATTTGCGATTGCATCAGGGTGGTTTCTACTTAAAGTATGATGATAAACTCTTTCCAAGTGTTTCTACATGCCTGCGTTTTTAACAGTCCTTAAAATCATACTGAATATGAAATACCTACTGGAATCACCGTGTTATCTTTAAGCAATGTTTTCGCTGTTAGTGCTTTGAAAAGCCGTTTCCAAAATTGACTGCAAATGGATCCCATTTCTCCACATTGGATGTGTCTTCCATTCTGAAAGTAAAGTAATACCTACTTAAATGTAGGACTTTTGCTGTTTTTCTAGCAGGGGTGGTGTGTGGTTAAGAATCTGTCCCCATGTCCAGAAGGTTGCTAGTTCAAATCCCATGGCCAGAAAAGCAATAATATTACTGATGGGCCGTTATCTCTGAACAGTGTTCCAAGGATAAACTGCCGGCCATGTGCTGTGACCCCAGGCTTTGCTCTCATCATTATCTGTGTGTCTCATAGGAATGCAAGATGTGATATGTGAAAGAATTTCTATATACCTATACTCATAAAAACAACAAGTGGAAGTATCTTATCTCACATAAACAGATGCTTTCCTGTCCATCTGTTGGCCTGGCTTTTTTTCAGCGGTCTAGTTTCTGTAGACGTATATTTATGAGGTTTTAGATATTATTGACTGAACGTCTTAGTTTTTTTTTGTTTTTGTTTTGTATAGGCGAGATGACGTAGGATCATGATGTCGAATTGTAAAGGGCGGCTTTATCTCCGGAACGTGACGTGACCGTCTTCGGATTGTTATGCACTCATTCCACGTTGGAGCATTGTGCTGTCGGAGCCTAGAGTGTCTGGGATATGAAAAGGGCGACCTCAGGGGTCAGGTATTTCTCCCGAGGATGGAGAGTGAGAGTGTAGGAAGGAGGAAGTGTGGTGTGAGCTGCGGAATTGGGGTGCAGTGGGGTATCAGGGAGGGGGCGGGGCAAGGCGGTGTGTGTATGTGTGGGTTGGGGGGGGGGGGGGGGCTGTTGACACAACAGCAGGGTCTCTGACTATGTGGTTTCCATTGTTTCCATTTGATCCGGGTTCCAGCAAGGGGTGTCCAGATGAAAGGCGCCGCCCTGCTGGAGCATGGACACACTGCACCTTGTACAAGCCGGGATATACTGGATTTATATGGAGTAAATTTATCAGACCGTGAACAGCTACGCAGAAGGGCACCCTTAACGATATTTCTGTGAAAATACACAATATGCGCTGTATTGCATTAATGTAACATGAAAGGTCTATGCTGCTCACTCGACAGCCTTTAAAAAAGGGGCCCAGAGCCGTCTTTGTCCTCGTCACACAGCAGCCGTTTGGCTTGTAATAAAAACACAGGTGGAAATGTTTGGCTTGCTGGGTGTGAAGGAACATTTGGTGATTTTTTAAAGCCCCGCAAAGGGGTTACGAGCGACGTCAGCCCCACGATCTGTGAGGTTAATGGGTTTCCAGAGTAAAAATCACCTGCAGGTGACGGGGCGGGGGGGCGTCTTGGGGACGCGTCAGGAATGGGTGACAATCAGGGAGTTTTCTGAGCAGCGGGTGACGCTTCTCGGTTGGTGCAGCTGGGCGTTTGTCACCTGGGGCGTCGCGGTCTCCTGCCCCATGCCTGGTCCTGCAATTTCGTCCACTTTCCCGGGGCTCGGTCCAGTGGCCGCGTCGCATGTCTGAGGCGCCAAGCGGTTCAGTCTCATGCTGGAAGTGACGGTCGCAGTGGGGTGAAGTCTCAGCCAACTGTGACGTGCTGGAGTGTCCTTGCCCCCCCCACGCCTAGAAGGGGCGCTTTTAAAAGAAGGTGAGCTCACCTGTGAGCGATGCGGGGGTGTAGAGGCTGGCGTGTCGGCCCACGTGGGACCTCTGAGCCCAGGGCCCATCCTGTAGCGCTGAACATTTACTCCTCACAAAAAAACAAGGCAAACACCTGAAAGGAACAGAAAGCCGCTTATGGAGGCCAGGAAGCCTGTATTCGGCGGCTGGATCTCCTTCCTTCCTGCTCTCCCAGCTTCCGCAACAAACAGCTTGGGGTGGATTGTGCCATTGGGCTCCATTGTGATGCGGCACCGGGCTCAGCAGCTGACTGAAAGCAGCGATGGCTCAGCCCCATGCCGGGGATCTCGCCGCCTCTCAGACCTTCGCGGGGGGGGGGTTCATATAGTAATCAGTCTGCTCTAACAGAACTCTGACAAGGACAAGGAACAGGTACCACTCTCACTGAGGACGTATTGATCATAGATGGAAAATAACATGCATGCATTACATCAGTGCCGTGGTTAGAGATGAATGGATAGGGGAGTCTTTAGCGGGGCGTGGGCGATGGCAAACTATTCTTAAACCAATAAATATATGTTTATTTGGGGTGTAAACAACATTTTAATGATGCCTAACGACGCCCCTGCACCACATTATATACGCATAGTCTTAGTTTCTACTTTTGTTACATTTATTTATTTCTGTCCAAAACAACCTGCAGCTTCCAGCTATTAATACACTTTTTAACTGGCCATGGATGCGGCCATAAGGAGGCCTCTGGGATGTGACCCAGGGAGCTGGGTTCGTGCTCCGTCCCTGTTCTCTGCACAGTGGGCTTGTGTACACGGAGCGTGTTTCGAGATGCCACGCAAAGGGGGAAGCGTAAAGGGGCTGTCCTACTGACGCAAAGCGTGTCGGGCTAAAGTGTCACATGCGGATGACTGCGCTCGCGGCTCTGATGGGTTTATTGTGAACTGATTATCCGGCGTTTTCCCAGACAAGGACCCCGTGGGCTGGGCTAGTCTCGCGTCACAGCCGTCTGCGTGAGGATGCAATGTCTGGAAGATGTTGGGGGCCAGTCATCTGTCAGCCGTTGGTTTTGAGGTTGCAAGAGTGTCCATGGGTTGTAAGATGGGGAAGGGGGTGGGGGGGTTACAGTTTATCACATTTGGAATCTGACCCGTGCATGTTTATGCAGACGAGGTCAAAGGTCAAAAGGTCAGCACTGGTGATCCAGCCACTCGTGCACCCCATGTCCTATTAATGGGGGGGTCATGACAGCTCAGATGCCCCCAGTGCAATTCTGTTTATTTTCGTAGGATGCCGTCCTGTCAGGATGGACCCCGGCAGCCGCATTTAGGGCCTGATCCGCATACCGGGATGGGGGGGGGAGCTGGGGTGCAAAGTACAGCAGAGTGACATCTGTGAAGCGACGTGCTCGCGCTTAATTTGCTGTCTGTCGGGGGGGGGTGGGGGGGTGGGGTGACAGTCAGGCTGTCCGTGCTGTGCCC